TAATTACAATAGTAAAATCAGATACAAACTAAAAGAAAGAAAGAAGAATAGAAAGAATGAAAGGCAGAAAGGAGAAGAAAAAAACAGAAAAAAGAAAAGTAAGAATATAGTAAAGAGAGAGAAAAGAAATATATAAAGAAGTGACTTCCAACCTTCATCATAACAATTATAAACAATTTTTGTAACTCTTCACCTCCTTTTAGTTTACAACCAATTATCTTTTCATCCCATGTCCCATCTCTTATTTATAAACAAATCCATAAAGCATCATATTTTCAGTCCTAGTATCAGCAGAAAGTCCATTAAGGGTTACCAGAAATAACAGCATATCTTATTTTAACCTTGATCAAATAAACCAAATGTATATTCCATCCTTTTATTTCTAACAGTCTTAATCTTTAGTCCATTCAAATAATGTCGCAGAATTTGATTTCTTCTCAAGAAATCTTCTTTGTCCCTTCTCAAAAGATTCTTCAAAGCTTTAACAAGCCTCCTTTGTAAATCCCATATAAAAAAATTATCCAGGTCATCTCTTGGTTTATTATTTGCATTTCCCTTTGATTTTTAAAACATCAACTGGTTTCTTAGTGAGACATCCTTTTCCATGTTATTCTTGTAGCCTGTCATTTGTAGATCCATTTTTGATGTCATCTTTGTCTTGTCAAATAAAACTTGTTTCTTATCTGTCATTTCTTCCATAACTTCTTTTGGACCCAGTCTATCCACATAAGCAAACATTGCTATTGATATTATTGATGCTAACTTCTGATTCCATTTTTCAAAAGTGTCTTTCAGTATTTTCAATGTGACATTATGTTTTGTGTCATTTTATACATCCCAGTTAATTAGCTGTTAATCAGGCTCATGTATTTTTCTCCTTTAACTAAAATCTTTAGTTCCCTCTAGCGTCCAATTTTTAAAATTATTTATCTTCATTTTGTCTTGCAAAAGTCCAAACAAATCTATTTCCCATGGGAAGGATTATTTATAATTAATTCTAAAATCTTATTCCAAATTTATCTGGACCCTTAATCTGTTTATAACTTTCTAGGATCAAAGCCTTATTTAGCTTTTTGCTGTTTATTTCAATTTTTTTGAATTCTTAAACTTATGATTAAAATTTAATTTCATTAAGGATTGAAGGAAAATTCACCCAGTGTTTTAAGACTTGTCAATCCAAAGGTCTCTAATGGCTTAAAAATAGTTAATAAGCAATTTCTGAATGTGATTAGAAAAGGAAGTTTGGGAACTGAGTGTCCTTTAAAAGGTGCCGACTCTGGTTGCGAGCAAGATGGCTATTCCTGTCGTCTTCCAGTTCTCCAGTTCCAGGCTCAAACTCTGCTAAGGGTGGAGCCATCTTCAGTCTGCCATTTCTGACCCCAGAAGTCCCTCTGGAGGCTTATTCAATAATTTACATACATACTTACTTTTGTGGAAGCCAAGTTTTAAGAGCAAGTATGCCACACCCGGCAACACAGATGCACTCAAAGTTAGTGGCTTGTTTCTTTTTAAAAACATTTTTATTGTTTTAATCTACAACACTAACAAAACAATAAACAACCCTAACAAAACAATCTACAAATATGTGTGTATGTATGTGTGTGTGTGTGTATAAAGATTTCTCCCAAAGTCAGTAGAAAATAAGTTCATATGCAATGAATGTAAAATTTCTATCCAAAAATTTAAGTCAGGTACATTAGAGTAATTCCACCACAGCAAACCAATCTTTTTATCTGCTATCCACACACAGTAAATCCAAAGTTCTTTGTATTTCATTAGGTTCCAGATTTTTGGAATGCCATTTAACACCCTTATCTCTTTGCTAAACACCCTATTTACAACCTTATAAATATTAAACCAAAATTATGACAATGTATATTGTCCCCCAATGATATGACAGAATCACTTCTGACATATTGCACTTCCAGCATACATATTTTGAAATCCAATCTTTACCATAAATCCTTTGAGTGTCCAATGTACTCCAAAAAGAATATTTAGTTGATCTTAAGGTCCTAAATATTAATTTAACCCTCTTTAAAACCCTAATTCGTTTTTCTAAATTACCTATAAGTTACCCATATCTTCCAAATAAAATTAAGTATAGATTTAGGAACTTCAAAAGCTTTTTGCATTGATATGGAAAGCTTAGGAACTTCAGACACAGCTAATGCATTTGGCCCAAGCTATACAATTAAGAGATTTTTAATTCATTATATTGTCACCTGAACAGTCTTAGATAGTCCAAAATGTTTTAGCAAAACTTAAAATGTTTTGAAAAATGATTAGCAATATGCTGGTCTAAAGTATTATTTTTTTTTTGCTTATGAATTCCAAACACAGTCTTAAGGATTAAATTATTCCATCACGCCAACATCTCAACCCACTATTTTGATGTATTTTCCATTATGAAAGGAATATCAACTCAGCTGCTTGATTATATATTCTTAAGCAAGGTATGCCCCATCCTCCTTCATTTTGAGGCAAATATAAATTATTTATTTATTGCTGTATGCAATGTAAAGCAAAATAATGAAACTTGGTTTTTTTCCAATTGGTAAGAATTAACAAATGTACCACTGAGCCAAAAGAAGCTTGAGATCTAAGTTTAGGGAAACAATTAGATAATAATGCTAGTGTCTATGGCAGCCCAGAGGATTCTTAGCAGGATCTATACAGAAGTATATCTTACATCACTAGCATCAAACTCTGATAAGTCTCATATATCTTGTACGTAAATATCAATGAATTGTTCATGAGGCTGTAAACTGAAGGGACCATTCTTTCATCTTTAGTGCGAATGTGATAAAGTTTCAGGTTGTTGAAAGAACATTTTAGTTATGTCATACATAACTAAACAGAAGATTGAGTTTTCTTCAAAGTTAAGTTTACTACATATGTTTGATGGACAGAACAAAAAATTGCGAAGTAAAAAAATTCATCAAATTTCTACTTTTAGCAGCCAAATTATTGGCAGACAATGGAAATATCTAGATAATATCTCAATGAATAGATGGTATAGTAAAATTTGGTTTATAGCAGCGCTTAAGAAAGATTGCAATAATATCCATTGCTTGACAATGTAAAGTGGCAAATCACCATTCTAAGAACGATAGAATTTTAATATTTATATAAAAGATAAGAATCCTTTTAACAGTCTATATCAGAAAATATGGGCAAGTTAAAATATAGCAGCAGTATGTACATTTAAATTATATATATATAGGCTAGGCACATTTCTCTTTTGTGATCTTCACGTTTAGGACACAGATGTTGCCACTTTTAGCTGCCTTTCCATTTTGACATCACTCAAAAATTTACATAAGAATTCCTAACAGTTGTTCGTGTTGAAAAAAATTACTGACAGCCATAGCCTGTGCCAAGTGATAGGATTCTTACAGCTTGCATTCTCGCAATTGGAAATTAATCTTCTCTGATGTACCATTTGTAGATGTCAACCAGATTTGCTTGAATTTATTTCCCCTTTAGTTCAGCATTACCTTGCAGTTCTTCAGTTTGTATTTGAACTTTATAGTAACAATTTCTGATTCAGCCTTGAATCAGAGGTATCAAAAGCATTCTACAAAACTCTCCAGCATGTTTTAATATTGACTGTGTTGGCTGCACCCTCAGTATCGACTGGGCAGTGATTCAAGGTGATACAGTTCTGTTACCCTTGCCAGAGATTGCTAACCTTCAGAGGCAGGCAAAAGTAAATGCAGGTTGCCGAGAAGCTATTTTGGGCCTTTCAAATAATTTCAGGGGTTGATGCCAGCCATGAATGCCAGTTCGCAGATCCACTTTGGATTGTTTAGCTTGGTCACTAGCTTGCCCTTGTTCTCTGTGCAAGTCTATATTTCAGCAATAAGGTAACAGAAACTCTGGAGCTTCTGCCTTCAACTCAACCAGTTTACCTCACAGTAGTATAACAAATCTGCATATGCCATGTCCAGTTCTTCTAGTAAGGTCCTAAATTGCTGATTATATAGTGTTTACTTTTTATAACTGTTTCTGCAGTACTATATTTAACCCTCCTGAGAAGTAGGAAATTCACATAAAACTTCTTAGTGTATTATGCAATGGCACATTATCAACTGAGAAGGATCAGTAACAAGATGTGGCTCCCCCCCCAGTAGTGCTATAAATCCTTTTGGGATCTAATTTTGGCAGAACACCATCCGTTGTAACACTGTCCAGTGATAATGTCTAGCATCATGGGGAAATGTAAAGTCCTGGAAAAAAAAAAAGGCATAATAGGTATTGAATTGGGGTGACCTGGCTTGGCAGTGGTACATGTAATAAGGGCCTCGGTGTTCTAGTGGATCACAAAGACAAGGACCAGGTTGAAGTCCGCAGCTTGGAAATTCGCTGGGTGACTTTGAGCCAATCACTACCTTTCAACTCAACCTGCCTCATAAGAGTTGTTGCAGGAAAAAAATTGAAGTGCTATGTATACTGTTTTGTGCTTCAAGAGAAAGGAAGGATATAAAATTAATAAAGAGGGATTATTTATTAACATTGTCATTTGCCTTTATAGGCCTGCAGTGTGTTGTATGGATAGAAACTGAACATTGGGCAGAAAGATGGTTAGGTAGGGGCTGAAGAATAGATGAAGGGGATCTTTGTGGTATAAATACTGGACATACCCTTTCTCTGTATAGGAATAAATGAAGGAACTAGAAACTTAAAGCTAAGCAGAAATAAAGAGATAGATCACAAATATTTGTAATCACAATAAAAGCCATGCCACTGTTTTACAATGTTGTAATTCCAGAAAAGCAACAAACTTATATCAAGAGCAAATATGCTTAGATCTATTGTAGTGAACATTAGGAAGCTGAAAAACTGGGCCAGGAAAAAGGATGTGTGGACTTTAACCTGTCTTTATTGATGCCAAGAGTTATTCATTTTCATACTTAAACTCACTTGCAACAACTTGAAAATTAACATATTTCTAAGTTGCTGAGTAACTGACAAACATACTCTGATCTCTGCTCAGGCAAGATTAGAGAAATCACTTTTATTCAATTCCTCAAATGTTTCCTATTCACTCCATCCTCCATCCACAGATACATGATTCCAAGAAGCACATTAAAAACTTTAACTTCATTATTTTAGACCTGGCATGTTGTTATATCTACAGTGTAGGAATGGCACTGGATCTTTCAATGGAAAGTATTTACAGGAATGAAGCTCAACCCCTATAATTATTGTTCCCCTATACTTTCTCAACAATTTCATCAGTAGTGACAATCCTCAGTTATTTAATCTAAGTCAGTCCCCAAAGTCCATGGTTATTATAACTTCATTCTGCTTTCTGGGATATCATATTCAACGTTTCCTTGTTTTTTCCCTGGTTAGGGTCTCCACTTCTTTCATGAACCGGAGACAGAGCTCTTCTTGCCACGGCAAAGCCACACACTGGACAGCCACAGGGAGTCCCACAGACTCTTTCACTGCCTACAAGGAAAGAAAAAGGAAAACAGCTTTTTACAACAAGTGTCAAATAAATGCTGCTGGCCACTGTCATGAGGCAATTCCAAATACCTCTGCAAGGAGTTTGGCTCCAAGATCATTGAAGTGCCCTTTGAAACTCTTTAACTCCTCCTCATCCTCCTTTGTTGTTGTTGTAACTGGTACCACACCGGCAGGGAAGTCCAAGAAGTTATATAAGACAGTATAAGAAATAATCTCTGTACAGACAAAAGACATAAGACACATAAAATGACTACTCAACTGTCTTGAGCAACTTGCAATGTTTAACAGCATAGGGAAGACAGTACTTCATAATTCTAATCACACATATCTCCTCTCCACTCTACAGATGAGAAAATTATTTGGAAAAACTGAAATTGATCTCAAGCAACTAATAATGCAAAAGTGCAGACACCGAAGGTCCCATGTTAACAGCCCTATGTGCTGTCCCTAATTTTCTGGTCTTTAAGAAGGCACTCAAAACAGTTTTATTTTGCAGGCTGTGCGATTGCTGATGATCATCTGACTGCCTTAGAGACTGTATTGTTAAATTAAATTCCCAGAGTCTGCAGTCTCTCTATTTAAGAGGAACTTTAGAAATAGTGTTGGGACTGTCACAAAAACTGTAGTTACATATTCTTGGAAGGATGAATGATTTCCTATGTGAAGGTCTTTGCTTCATTGTACAGAATACTTACTAGACAGACGTTTTCAGTAGCAGCTAATTTGCCTCTTATAAACTGTAGCTGAGGTAAGATGTTCAACATCAACACGAGACATGCTATGTGAACTCTTTCCCTTATAAGCCGGGATGGAGTTACACATACTAGCCCTTGCCATTCCTGTCCAGTGTGGCAAGATCCAAAATGGGAACTTATTAGGGTTGTGTAGTGCTTCAGATTCAAAAGTGAAAACTCCTTAAAGTAGCCAACCCTTGGGACAGTACAGCCACATGATCCATCTTTTTTTAGATGCGTTTGGTTCAAAGAGTTGCAAACAAGCATCATAGTTGCACCCCATGCGTTACTCCATGATTTTTTTGCCCCAACATCAAAGCATACCACAGCCCTAGGATTTAGTCACATTTGATTGAATAGGAGTAGGACACTCCTGGATTCTAAAGTTTCCAACATACTTCCAAAACTTGGTTTTCCAAGTTACCAAAAAGTACCTGGTATTCTTCCTGGAAACCCACTCTTAAAAGCAGGACCCAATGCAGGACAAAGCAGCACATCCAGTTCCAGTCTTTTCCATTCTGCAATGAATTCTCTGCAGTATTCCTAATAAGAGATCAATTTACACAGCAGGGCTACCTTTTATTTCTCAATGAATAAACCTGGCATCCAGAAATACAGTGGCATCTGGTAGGGGCAAGAGGACAGATAGCACAGCAAAGGTGGGCTTTTGAGTTGCTGTTCCTTGAACAAGTGCTTTTTGGATGACCAACATTAACCCTCTCTCCTGGAGATTAAGTGTCTGCGCATTTTCCTTCATCCATCCCTTGAAGCAGACACTGTTTTAAAACTTAAAATAGCTTCCTTAGATGTGAACTCGTAATGGAGGATCTCAGAAGCAAAAATCGCATCTGATCCCAGGATTCCCTTCTAAAAATACCCGAGCTCCAAAATCTGCCCTTTTTCTCCCCAGCCCCGCTCTCCACACACTGCACTGCCACTGTGTAGAGAAGGCCCCCCCACCCCCCATGTACCCCCAATATTACCAATAGGAAGGAAAAGGCTGTAACTCAACAGTGGATTCTCTTACAAGAAGTCCTAGATTTAATAAGGCAGGGAAAGACCCCAGTGTGAAACCCCGGTGAGGTGGTGCTACCAGATGAACCAATAGCTTGACTTGCAATAAAATAGTATCTCATGCTCTTTTCCTAGAGCAAAGAATATTTTCCTGATTTAATGTTCAACTAGGAAACATATGGTGTGGCCAAATAATATATTTATCCAGTACATTCTTGAGAATGTATAGGTAGTCCTCACTTAACAACTGGTCTGTTTAGCAACTGTTCAAAGTTACGACAGCACTGAAAAAGTAAATTTATGACTGGTTCATGTACTTATGGCCATCACAGTGTCCCTGTGGTCACGTGATCAAAATACAGGCGTTTCCCAACTGGAGGCGTTTATGACAGTTGCACCGTACCATAGTCATGGGATTGCCATTTGTGCGCTTCACAGCTAGCTTCCAACAAGCAGAGTCAATGGGGAAGCCAGCAGTGAAATTGCAAGTCACTGTCACGTGATGTCTCATTTAACAACCTGTAGTGATTTCCTTAACGACTGCAGTGGGAGTGATGTCGTAAATCTGGCGGGGTCACGTGATGTTTCACTTAATGACTGTGCCAATTAGCGATGGAGTTTCTGGTTCCAAATGTGGTTGTTAAGCAAGGACTATCTGTATTCCTGTCACAGAAAAAGTCACTGAGCAACAGAGCATAAATACAAGAAAAATAGACAAGTCTGTGTAACTATAACAGGACATGAGAAGTGCACAAGTTACAATCGCATCCTACATTTCAGCTTCTGCTTAACCCCTGCAAAAAAAATTCTGTGGATACCACAGTTTTTTGTATATTAAGCATCTGATATTCATTTAAGATTTAAAACTGTCATTTAGAGGAAAGAACAGCTTCCCATGCAGGGATGACAGAGCTGGTCTTTACTTGGAAATATCCACAGAGGCAACATTCACAACAAGCCCATCTTTACTGAGCTGCATCCTCCGAACATGTTGGATTTTAGTTTCCAACACCCCATGCAGCATGACCAATGGTTGGAGATCATGGGAGGTACAGAAGTCTGATGTGACTGGAGAGCATCAGAGTACAGAGTAAAGACACTGTAAGTTTTATGAATGCTTTAAATCTGTGGTCTGAGGTTGAAGAAGACTATGCTGTTTTCTTTACATGCCTCAGAAAATACACAGGCAAGATTTTGGAAGCTTGGAAAGATTCTAAAAGAAAATTTACCTCAACTTCCAAGTGATATTTCCAAAGCTCTTTTACAGACCTAAAAATTCAGAGAAAAGAGGTGAACAACAGACACATGGAATTGGCTGTCTATGTTCATGACCTATAATAGCGTTCCCCAAGCTGATGCTAGACAGCTATGCTGGTTTTAATTCCTCTGGGCAGACTGGAACTGAGTCTAATACATTCAGTGGGCACAAGACTGGAGAACAGTATTGTACAGTAATGGCAGTAAAGTTAGCACATTAACTTTGGCAAAATAAACCAACTGTTGCTGAAAGCATCAATATGGAGATCAAGAAGTATTTGTAAGAAGCATCAGTGGGAAGAAAATGTAGTTTTTTTAAAAATCCCTTCCTGTATATATAAATCCTCCTATACTGTATATACCAACCTATTTTCTTTTTATCCCAAATTACTTCCCTCTGCAAGTTGGGATAAGAGAAGGGGAACAACCGAAAACAATTCATACCAAGGAAGGATTAAACAGTGTTCCCCAACCCATAGTGCTCTCCTCCAGGAAATGCCACCTCATATTTATCCTATAAAGTCAACACAAGGAATGATATTTTGTTCCCGTGTTATTTAGATTTGCCTTTACCTTGAAAAGGACAATATACAGACAATATATGAATGCACAAGGTATCTTTTAGGAAATGTCAACGGAACCACACATCCAAAAACATCTGCATTGTTTTGGCTAGAATTGTTGGCTTCAACAGTTATATTATGGAGTCTTCATAATTTTAAGAACACATATCTAGTATTTACTATAGCAGAGAACAATTAAAACAAATACATAGAAAACTACTGAAAAAGCAAGGGTTAGGAAAATATTCGCAAAATGGGCACCACTGCATGATTTTTCATGTTATAGGTGCTAAACGATAGATTCAAAATAATGTTACATTATTCTGTGAAAATCCAGAGCTTTTACAAGATTTAAGAAATAAAATGTAGTGTTAATTTTGGGGTAGATGGGAACAAGTTCATTCTAGTTAGTTCTGCACATACATAGCCTCTTATACTGCTACTCTACAGCTGTAGTTCTTTGGAATCACATACAAAACTCATCACACAGGTCCTTGTTTTATACTAAACTACTGCTGGAAAACCTTACTGCAGATGCAATAATTTCTGCTTGGTTAAAAGCATATTCACCACAAATTCCATCCAAACAGGAACCATAACATCAGGAAGCAAAAAACCACCCACTTACTACAGAAGCAACATTAAAAAATGAAGGCCTTAATCTCCCACCAACAATATTTACCTTTCATGCAGGTTCCTCAAACTTCTTGACAGACGAATATGCTAAGGAAAAAAAAAATGAAAAGTGCCACACTTGGGATGAATTTAAAAATAAATGGTAAAGCATCTTAAATATTATACTTCAGAATGATGTCTGACTCACTGACAATTTAGAATGAAACACAAGTAGCCAAGAAGCAGCTAATCTGTTTCTCTAACCTTTCCCGGCTGGGAACAGTAGTCCCAACCCATTTGGAAGGCTGAAGGGTAAGGAAGTTCAGTTGTTTCAATGCAGTCTGATATACCCTACATCAAATTTATTATATTATATATTGAGCATGTCAAAGCTAGATTGTTCACAGTTGGTGTAGGGTAGTGATTAAAGTCACAGACTAGAACTGTGGAAACCCAGGTTCCAGTCCACCATCAGCCATGGAAACTTACTGGGTGACTTGGAACTAGTCATTCTCTCTGCTCGACCTACCTCACAAAGTTTTTGTTGGGGGGATAAACTGAAGGGAGATCCTCACATAAGCTGCCTTGTGCTCTTGGGGGAAAGGCAGCATATAACTCCAACATCATCATCACGATCACCATCTAACTGCATCCCTCCTCTGCCCCACACATCATGCTATTCTTTATTCCCAAATGATATACAATTCTGAATTGGGGAAAATGCATGCCCTGCAATTTAGCCATGATTTTTTTTTTAAGCAATTTAGTATCAATCTGCTCACTGTGTGTCATTTCTTCTGAACTTTATAGGAACCTTGGGGATCCCATGATGAGCCTGCAAGGTGGCTGTATGATGTCAAGTGATTGTTCTCCTGCAATCTTGGGTTTTTATGTTTTCTTTTTATTTATGCTTGAGTGTTTTATGGTTTTTAATTGTTATTATGTTTGTATGACACCCAGAATCACACTTAATGAGATGGGCGGCTACATAAATTGGCCAACTAACTAAATCTTATTGGGAAGAAAAGGCACTTTAAGGGAAAGTGGGACTGCTTAGATAGAGGACATAGATCTCAAGTCCACATCCAAAAGGGTACATTGTGATACCTATTACATGTTTTTAAGAATATAATACTGAAGTTCAAAATCCTCCATTTTAAAAAAGGCCCAAAACTGTCAAGACTGTATCTCCACACACAACTAGAAAAAGACAATGTGTGTGTCTTAATAGATTTCACATCCTAGGTTTTGATTTATATTTGCTCCCATGTTTTGAATGGATAAACCTGAGGTTGCTGCTACAAAATTATGCAGTTGTATGTAGTATTAGAAAAACAACTTTGATTAGAGAATGAACATTGAAAGTTTCAAGGAACAAGCAAATGTCAGGAGAACGTGAAGATTAAACTAGCTTTATGCTACACCCTGAAAGATACATGTTAATGCAAATATAAACAGGTTAAAAGTACTGACATACTCTATAGCTATTAAAAGAACCAGATTTCCACTGCTACCTATTTATTATGATAATGTAATTACATAACTCAGCCATACTGGTTTTCACATGTTTTTGGCAACATCAACTTAATATTATTCAGTATATTTTTACATATAGTATTATGGCAATGAAGAATAAAGATTCCTAGCAGTAATATGTGAACTCTTCTCACTTAAGGTACTCCAGACTTCATGATCTGTATGTCCTCTGTGCAAACTGAATTAACAGAAGTTAACAGGATTGTCCTCATGAAAGAATGAAAAGCCTCCAGGTAAATGAAGATAGCAAGAGACCAGGCTTACTATTGGTCTGATGATCCAGGATAGGACTCTTTGTAACCAGTGAGGTAATTTTAGCATCAGCAGGAAGGGCTGTAGTTTCGGATCTTTAGGCTCACCTTCGCTGAAAGGAAACAAGACAACCCAAATACATAAATAAAAGGCTAAGATAATTTTCACAATGGACGTTATCTTCCAATTCCAGGGCATCAGCTAACACTATTGGCATCCAGAAATCTGTTTGCCATGTAAATTAGCAATTCTGATTAATCTGTAAACCAAAAGAAAAATCCTACTAAATCAGACATAGAGGCCATCTAGTCAAACAGTGGCCCTACAGACTCCCTCTTTATTTTTAACCCCCCACCCCATAACCTTGCATTCCACTGAAAATTCAGTTCTTTCTCTGTTCATCCCATCTGTTAAAAGAAAAAAAAAAGTGGGCTTAATGCAGAATCTTACTTCTCTCCATTGTGAAAGCTATCCATTTATTCTATCCTTTATTCTAACCTTCTTTAACCTGTTACTGATTTATAGAAGGACCTCTTCTCTTATCTCATTACTCCTAAATTTCCTCAAGGGTTTCCAATGAAGGACTTTTATCAAGAGCTGTTTGGGAAGTTCAATCATACTATGACTGATCAGTCCTAGTATGCTGTCAATACAAAGTTTATTATAATAAGCTACAGCAGCTGAGTTCATGTATCACACTAATCCAATATCAAACCAACTATATTCTGGTTTAAAACAATGTGCCAGCCAATGTCTATTAAATATCCAGGTAAAATGTTTGGCAGCACTTTCCAAATCATTTTATAGGGCTAACAAGGCAGGGCTTCTCTTAGAAAAACCTATCCAATTCTTCTTCAACAACTTTCCCTTCTGTACATTTAATTGTTTTAATTATATTTCCATTTATCTATGCAAGACATTAAGATTAACTCACTGTAATTTCTTGGCAGCTCCCTGGATCCATTTTTTTCAAACAGTTATTGTAATTATTTTCCAACCCAATTACGATTAATTTCAATTATAAGTTAAAGTTGCAGGATAATCAACTATCACACGCTGAAACCCATTAAGGACTCTTATTGCTTGCTGGTTCCTTTTCATTCCACTTTTCAAAGGCACACTCTAAAAACTCCCATAAAATGGTTCAGGCTTTTAAACAGGTCCAGTTCATCTGTAGTAAGAACTGATTCAAATAAATTAAGTATCTCCTTAATTTTTTGGTTCTGCTATATTGCTATATATTTCTTGGTTGTGCTATACTGAAAGCTTTTTATTTGAATTCATGTTAACAGTTTACTTCTCAAAGTCATTTCTTGCTTTTTTTAAAAAATCTCTCCCCCCCCCCCCCCCGGTCTTAGAATATATGGAGCTCAGGGTTAAACTGTGGAGTCCTTGGTGCTCTCTGAGCTTGGTTGTTTGGTTGCAGATGTTTCATTACCCAACTAGGTAACATCATCAGTGCTTGGGAGTGTGGGGTTTACTCCGTTTATATACTGTAGCTTGCCCTGCCAGTGTTGGTAGGGGTGTGATTTTCTCCTTGGTAGTTCCTTGATTAGGGTATTGTTTTCTGCTTGCTTGTCTGGTGTTAATCCCTGCTTATCTGGGTGTAAGCTGCTACACAGGATGTGTTCTTTCTGTGTCCTTCTTAGCTTTTTTTATTGTCTCTTTTGAACAGTGTGTAAATGTGGTTAATCTCTATTTGTCTATTGCTGGATGATTTGTCTGAATGCCGAGCTTCCAGAAATTCCCTAGCATTTTTGGATTTAGCTTGGTCTAAGGATGCTCAGTTTCCCAGTTAAAACTATAGTTGAGTCTGTCCATGTGTTGTGAGATTAAGTTTGTCTTCTGACTGCTAGTTGGTGTTCATGGATGCGCTCTGCTAGTCTGCATGTCTGACCTGCATAGTGGCTGTTACAGTCCTTACATTGTATGTTGTAGATGACTCCTGGGTTTTTTTCCCCCTGGGCTACTGCATCTTTTGGTTTACTTAAGATGTTTTGGAGGAATTTAGTTGGTTTGTGTGCTATGGTGATGCCATGTGCTCGTAATAGTCTGTTGGTTGTTTCTGAGAGGTTTTTGATGTATGGTAGTGTTATCCTTCTCATAACTTGTGTTGGTTGTGTTGTAGTGGGTGGAGTGGTCAGGCACTTTTTGATAAAGTTGCATGGGTATCCATTTTGTTGGAAGATGTTGTATAGGTGGTCTGTTTCCTTTTTCTGGTGTTCTGAATTGCTGCAGTACTGTTTGTACTCATCTGAATAATGTTCTTACACAGTTCTTCTTGTGGGAGGTTGGGTTGTTACTTTGGTAATGGAGCACTTGGTTAGTGTGGGTTGTTTTTTGATAGACACTCACTAGCACTGATGATGTTACCTAGTTGGATAGTGAAATCTCCATCTCTCTATCTGTTCATCTAATGTACTTTTTTAAAAGGTGAACATGTGACTGTGACTGTGTGTGTGTGTGTGTGTGTGTCCTTTCTAAGCAGGTCCTTTCTAAAATGAGAGTTAATGTGATGGTGCCAGACTTGCATGGGGAAAGACCCAGGTTCTAATCCACTTTGAGCCACAGAAGCTCACTGGGTCAAATAAGGGCCAGTCACTCTCATCCAGCCCAGTTTACCTCACAGAATTGTTGTTCTGCTGCAGAATGAGTGAGGAGTGCTATGTATGTCACTTTAGGTACCTGAAGGAAAGGTGGTATACATAACTAATAAATAAATAAATATAATGTTGCCAAGACTTCCACTTTCTAAAAAACAGTGTTCCTCTCTCATGATTTCCTTGATGTTCTCCATAGCCATTCTAGCATCCATTTGAACTGGTGTACACTTTTCCCCTATACTGTGAATGGTATTCTATTTAAGATTTTATTACACAATTTAATTCTCTCCACTATATTGATTTGTTGCACTGATACACTATTCTGATTTCTTGTATGATATCTGTATATCTTGTTCCCAGCTTGTGATTTTAATTTGACAACAATCCTGGAATATTAGGCTGACAGACAGTAAATATTCAAAGTGAGCTTTATGGTTAAACAGAGACTTGAAGCTGATTTTTCTCCATTTAAACATTAAGCAGGATACTATACTGCCTATATTACCGTAGTAGGCTGTTTTATATAGTATCGCATCCCTCCACATACATATAGATAGTCCTCATTTATCAACTGCCTCATTTATCAACTGTTCAACATTACAACAATGTAGAAAAAGCAGCTTTGTGACCAATCCTCACATTTACAACTATCAGAGCAGCCTATGGTCACATGATCGCCATTTGGGCATTTCACAACCAGCACACATTTACAACCATGGCAGCATCACGTGGTCACCATTCACGTGCTTCACAACTGGCTTCCAACAAGCACAGTTAATGGAGAACGCAGAAGTAAAATGCAAGTCACGGCCACATGATATCTTGCTTAATGGCTGTGGTGATCTGTTTAACAACCAAATGGGGAGTGACACTGTAAGCCTGTCACAGTCACATGATTTTCTGCTTAGCGACCACAGCGCTTAGCAATGGAGTTTTCAGTTCTAATTGAGGTCGCTAAGTGAGGACTACTGGTAGTATTTTTGATCCATAATAAAAATAAAGCTTCCAGCAGAGTTATGGATGTTGTAGTTTGAAACAAGAGGAAAAAAGATTCATACAGCACAAGTCCAAAATGTTTTGTTCGTAGCAGCTTTCAGCATCAGAAAACTTAAATCCCTGTATCCACCTACTGAAAATAATTGGAAACACAGGATAAGAAAAGGGGGAAAATCATTTCCACAAAATAAGCCTTCTACTCCTTTTGTTCCCTCACATACACCTCAGACTATAGAAAACAAAATACTTACAAAGACTTTAAGACAGTGGCACCACCATCAGCAAAAAAGCCTGGAGCAAAGAAGTTGTTCATAAAATAGTTCATGTGATATGGCTCAAAGGGGACCAACTAAAAAGAAATGAGAGAACATTTAAAAAGTTTTTTTTAATTGCTTTATATGCAGGAGGAAATACTATAATCAGGTATTCATGTCTTAAACATGGACTACCAGGAATCACAGTGATCAGACTTTTTACTGTGTCAACAGAAAGTCAATTCATAAGCAGAAATTGACTCAGAAAAAGCCATTTCTCTAAATCAGTGTTTTTCAAACTTGGCAACTTTAAGATGTGTGGAATTCCCCAGCATGCTAACTAAGGAATTCTGGGAGTTGAAGTCCACCTATCTTAAAGTTGCCAATTTTGAAAAACACTTCTCTAAATCAACAAAAGGATAAAAATCTATTCAGTTCCATGTGATTCAATTTTTCACTTTAGAAAGGCTTGTACAACTCTACTAAAAGTCAACAGATGTTCCATAAACGGCAGTCCTGTGTAACACTTGGAAACAATCTGAGAGCCTTCTTGTATATAAAGATTTTTCTATATTAATCAAATCAAGTCAAATTCTTTAAATACTATATGGTGGGACACCAAAAATGGCATAAGAAATAATTAAGAAGCAAATTACACAGAAATGAAGGCAAAGTGAACCAGAATAGTGAATACTCAAAGGCAAAAAGAGATGGTCTCTCTTCAGTCCATATAAAACTTCAACCTTCATTAACAACAGGCAGTTCAGTGGAGGTAGTAGATAGGGAGGGAAAACCCAGATGACATTTATTTGATGTTTTGCCCTCTCCTTTTCTGCTGCAGCCCTAACAAAAATCTCTCTGATGCCCACTGGTGTTCCCCTCAGAAACATACCTCTCCTTGGAATGAAACATACTGCCCCCCCCATGAGTATACATACCACATGGCCATTTATTTCCAGAAGCTCCTTGGTTTCCAGCACAGCTCGTCTCATGGAAGGGCTTAACATGCTATAGGAATTGTTGACATAATATCCTATTCTGAGAGGAGCAGAGCTGGTATAAACCTGGAGCAACAGAAGAACAGGAAGAATTTTCAAAACAATTAATCATGGTAGGTGCTTTAGAAGTACAGGCGAAACTCGAAAAATTAGAATATCGTGCAAATGTTCATTTATTTCAGTAAG